GGTTTCAGGGGTTTTAGGGTTTAGGGGTCTAGGGTTTAGGGGGAAGGGAGTTTTTGGGGTTTTAGGGTTTAGGGGTTTGGGGTTTAGGGTCTAGGGTTGAGGGGTTTTAGGGGTGTTAGTTTTAGGGGTTGAGGGGTTTTAGGGTCTAGGGTTGAGAGGTTTTAGGGGTGTTAGGGGTTGAGGGGCTTTAGGGTCTAGGGTTGAGCGGTTTTAGGGGTTTGAGTTTTAGGGGTTGAAGGGTTTCAGGGTCTAGGGTTGAGGAGGCTTTAGTGTTTTATAGGTTTAGGGGTTGAGGGTTTTAGGGTCTAGGGTTTAGGAGTTTCAGGGGGCTTAGGGGTTGAGGGATATTGCGTTTAGGGTTCAGGGGTTAGGGGTTAGGGGTTAGGGGCTTTGGAGGTTGAGGGGTTTTAGGGGTTGAGGGGTTTTCAGGGTTTAGGGTTTTAGGAACCTTGTTCAAAAGGGGTTTTAGGGGTTGCAGGGTTTAGGGTTTAGCTCCGGCCACATGGCTTACCTGTACCGCGCTGCGCAGTGACATCAGAAACCACCTGCCTGCCATTTCAGGACAAGCTGCCAAACAGCAGCTGTCGGGGCTGGAGAAGCCGGACAAGGATGAAATCGCTGGTGCCGTGCTGGTGGCTCGGCTTTGACTTGTTTGGGCATAGTCCCACTCGCAGTTCAAGATTGCTTCAGGCGGTGCTGCGGCAGGCGGGTTGGGCATGTCGCGAGCGCACGCTGCCGGCTCTTCGTGAAGCCACAATGAGCAGTGACCCTGAAGGGCTTTGAGTCCAGTGGCGTCGCTTTTGCCTTGGAGCTGCTCGCACAACTGGCAGAGAAAAGCCCTGCTGTCCTAGCTGTGGCGAAGGCTGGGTTTTTTCGAGCAGGTGGGCCAGCGCTTGATCTCAGCCGCGGCGTCCCCTTGAGGAGAGGCTGAACGATGCGGATGCTGTCGTTCGAGCAGCTGCTGTCTCTGCGGTTTCCCTCTTGGCCAGAGCCTTAGGTGGGGGGGTGTTTTGCAGCACAAGCTGAGCAGGGTTCAGGGTTTAGGGCAAGTCGTGGGCCTCTTGTGGTTCAAAAGACGGCCTCTCAGGGACCAGCGAGGAGTTTGTCTTGCACTCTCCAGTGCCGGAGTCGTGATGCCCATTCGAGTCAGCATGCAGAGCCACCGTGCTCGGACGAGAGGACACCCCGTGCCAGGGCGTTGAGACCCATGACCACCATTAACGATCGTGTGCTGAGGCCAGGAAGGATGACAGAGCCTGCAAGAGTGCAGCTTGGATGCACATGCATGATGTGGGCCTCGTGCCTTACAAGGACCTTTCTGAATACAAGGGTCCACGTCCTCGCGCATCTTCCCCCACCCAAGCACACGGCGAGGTACCGAGGGAGCTTTTCCGACGCCTGGAAGACGAGAGCCAAGCCGTCCGAAGCGCTGCCATCGATGCCCTGCCGCAGCTGAATGCAGAGGTGGGGGCCTCCGGAGTTCAGAATGGAGATCGGAGAGCTGAAGCAGTTTTCAGGTGGGGGGGTGGGGGTAGGTCGGTAGGCAGGCCGGTAGGTAGGTAGGTTGGTGGGTAAGTAGACAGGCAGGCCGGTGGTGAGGTAGGTGTGCCAGGTAGGTGGGTAAGTATGAACGAAGGGAAGGCATGCGTGCATGTAATCATTGTACCCCGTACTAAGCAACAGCTTCTCCGTCAGTCGGTCAAGTTATGGTGGTTTCTGGGCCGATTCTAATCTCTCTTCCTCACGCAGCATTCTGAATTCTCAGGGGCGGCGGAAGCTGTCCGCTTTGACCCCGCGGCTGCAGGACCTGTGGAACTCTTCGGTCGCTTTCCCTCGGAGTGTGCGTTCGTTTACTAGACAAGGGTTCCCTCAAGGGCATGCCGAAGTCGCAGAGGCGTTGGTCGCAAGGAGATCTGCGCAACAAGAGCAGGGAATACCTTCAGCACAGGGCAAGCATGATGGGGCGAAGCTTTTGCATTCCGCAGGGGATCAAGATGCGTAGGCTTCCCAGATGGAGAAAGCCAAGAACAGTCGGAGACTGAGCATCACAACCACTGAGAACTCAGAACGCAAGCCGCATGACCGTATGACTGTGTGCATTCCGTGCTCTAGGTTTCAGCAGTCGCAGGATACCCAGCTTTCCCATGAGCGGTGATGCCCGGGATCCCGCGGATGAGGAGGTGGAGAAGGAACGGGAAAGAGAGCCACAGCCGGGCGCGGGCGGTGCTTCGAGCTCGGGACCTTCCCCGGCTGCATCGAGCCGGGAACGCGGGCGCCTGAAGGGGGAGCTGGCACTGGAGGAGCTGGCTCTGAAGGGGAGCTGCGTGAAGGACGGCGGGGTGGCCCATGCCATGCTCCTGGTGCCAATGCGGATGGAGCAGCGGCGGCTGCTGCCCGTGAGGGGCCTTCCTAGGCAACTGGAGGCCAGACTGCGGGCAGCGGTGAGGGCAAGCTTCTGCTTGAAACCCCAGCGGTGGCACGGCTTTGCCTTGGAGCAGCGGATGATCCAACTCCAGGCGGATCGACAGCTGGCCTTGGCAGCCGTGGAGAAAAGGGGCCTGGCCTTGCAGCATGTACCGTCAGAGCTCCGAGACCGCGAGCTGGTTCTGAAGGCCGTTCGGTCTCGACCCCGAGCCTTGGAGTTCGCACCTCCCCAGCTTCAAAGAGACCGAGATGTGGTCCTGGCTGCCTTGACAGCGCCTGGGGGTCACAAGGCCTTGGGCTTTGCCGCAGCTTTCAACCAGGATCAGGAAGTCCAGGCAACTGTCCGGCAGGTGCAGGCGACGCTTGCAGAGACCAAGAAGCCGGCAGACGAGGGTCTTCAGTTGGATCTGCGCGCGGAGCGGCCTTCCGATTTTGCTTCCCCGCGAAAGGCGGCCATCCTTCAGATCGTTCCGGATGACATGCTTTGCCTGCTGCACTTGTGAGCCCTACTATACCATACTATACTATACCATACTATACTATACTGTACTATACTATATCATAACAGTCTACCCCTAGGGGTGGAGTCTCAATCGTGGGACTGAAGAAGTGATCGAGGCCCGGCTCGGTCGGCGTTATGGCCGGCAGGGTTGAGGCTTTGAAACCCTTTAACTCGGAGCTGCAAGACAGCGTCATTCTTGCAATGGAAGAAAAACTTGGAGGCCAGTCCAAGACCACTTTAAGGGTCTGAATAAATTACCAACACTATTTTTTTTGGGGGGGGGGTCCTTGTTCTGACTAGAGTATAATGGGCCCCAAAACCCTATTCTGACCCCTAGATTACCGCAGGGCCCAAGAGTCCATGCTTCCGAGCTTCGGTTCCGCATTCTCAGCCCCAAACCTCAAAGGTTCGAGTTCCAAAGTCTACAAGGCCTCTTATAGCAACCCTTACTGTGACCCTTAGGGTAACCCTGATAGAAACCCAACTGATTCTTCCCTGCCTCTGAAATCCCTGCGCCCGCCAGGTGTCTGCCAACACTCCCAAGACTCCCAAGGCCTCCTGAAGTTTTGAAGCTGGGCTCCGAGGCAATCCTAGCAGCCACAAAGCAACATGCGCAAAATCCGCAACCCTATATTTTGCATGCCCTGCGCGAGTTGCGAAGGACGCTTGCCGTCTGAAGCCTTACCCACCTTATCCAGAGCGTGAGAGTCGAACAGTCTTCATGTCCAGACATGGCGCGAGTCACACAGCCCTCTCAAGCCCCGCTCCTCTGAAGCTTTGAAGGCCCCTTACATCCCCGAAACCCCTAGACCCTAAACCCTAGCTTGCTTAAACCCTCAACTCCAAAAATCCTCTCGAGCTTCGTTTCAAGCCTGCGCGGCCCGAAAGCCATGAGCAAACAAGCCCTAGGCCCTGACCCCTAAACCCCCAACCCTAAACCCGAAGCCGTGAGTATAGATCTCATTCATGCGAGAGGGAAAAAAACCCGAAGCCCTGCACCCCAAGCCCTACACCCCAAACCCTAAAGCCTAAACCCTAAACCACAAAAAGGAGAACCCTAAAGCCCTAAAAAGGACTCGGACCCCGGGGTGAAAGCAGCAGCGCTCCGGTGCTTACAGAAGCTGCAGGTGAAGGCCGTCATCGCGAGGTTTCCATAAGAGAGACTACAAGGGTGACTCCCCTTCAGTGCTCCCTGGACAGGGGGGTTAAGGGTTTGGGGCTAGACCCCAGTGCCGGAGCAGAAAGCCCTCGTTGCCAGGCTCAGGTTGTAGTACAGACACGTGGGCGGGGCAGGAATCGTCAGCATCGACGGTAGAATCCTAAGAAGTTCGCAGAGGCTCGCTTCACATATGATGCGCTGGGACGCGAACCCTAAACTAGGTTGTGCTTGGCTTTTCTGTGACTTCCTCGAGGAACTCAGACGGGGTACCGTTCCTCGTGTAGTTGACATGGAGGAAGAGCAGCACACGGAAACAACAGAAGTGGTGGAGACTTCCTACTTGATGTAGTCAAGGAGGTGTGAAAGGGTTGTGGTATCAGGGAGTTCTTTCCACGCATGTCTGTGACACCAGCTGGCATGAGCCCCTTCATGTCCCTCCTTGGGGGGTTTGTCCGTGATGTGCCCGGATTGTCCCAGTTCTGAGTGCTGAAACCACGGGAGCCGAAAGAGACGCAGCTAGCTCTGGCTAGGTGGATAATCGGTTCCGGAAGACGCTGAGCAAAGCCTTGGCCGCAGCTTGGTCAATCATGCTTGCTCCTCCTTTTTTTTCCAGGTGTTCGTTTGGTTGTGTTGGGGCTTTGGGTTTCCATGAATGGGTAATTCAGGGCTTTGATAGGTTCGTGATCAGTGTCTAGAATTTTGTTTGTTTGAGGTTGGGGCTTTCGAAGACTCTCTACAAAATGTTTTCGCAAGTTGAAGGCCTGGAGTTTGTGTAGTGGCCACATTGTTGGTGTCTGGTGGTTGTTAATATTAGCGGTGTTGGAAGCAAGTCCGAATGCCACCCTTGAAGGGTTGTCGGTTTGAGGTGAGTCCACAAGCGTGTTCTTTACACTTTGCTTTGGAAGTTTGATAGCACTTGTACGGCTGGCAACATTGACAACTGCCCGTTTCATAATTTCAACCTGTATCTGAATATCTTTCACCAGTTTGACGATGTCTCGTTTTTTTCTCGAGGCCTGTTGTTTGCATCAGCATGCGCATGTCTTTCGGCGCTTTCACCCTCGGGGGAGTCTAAGGACGGGCACCCCGACGTGCGGGAAGCCGCGTGGTCGTTGATCCCTCATTTGGATATCGGTGCTCGTCTCAACGTGCTGATTCTATGTGTGCAGGTAGACGAACGGAAGGACAGACAGACAGAGACAGACAGCGAGGTAAAGTGACGGACAGAGACAGCAGAGACGCACAGAGACAGACAGAGACAGACAGAGACGGACAGAAAGACAGACAAAATACAGACACACACACACACAAGCACACAACAGCCACAAACACACAAACACACAGACTCACAGACACACAGATACACAGACACATTGCGGCACACACACACACAGACACAAACACACAAACACACAAACACACAAACACACGAACACAC